TCATGTAATAGTGAAAAATATGTGAATCATATTGCCTTTTGTCTTTGCTGTGGTAGAACAACTAAGCCCCAAATTACTACCCCCACCATGTTCAAAGTTAAAAAAAAAATCACAATACGGCACTTTTCAATTTATACTTCTGATAGACTACAAAGTAAGCCTGGCCAGCAGTGTGCTCCAGCTGTTCAAAGAACTTAATGCAATTTTGGACTGCTTCAACAGGGGTATAATGCAGAGATCATAGGATGTGATAGTTATGCTCTGTGCTGCATTGGTCAGGCCACACATGGAGTATTCTGTTCACCTTTTCTTGTCACGACCCACAAAGGATGCTGAGATACTGGAAAGAGTGTAGAGAAGATCAACAAACATGATAATGGGATCAAAAGCTAAATCTTCTAAAGAGCATTTAAAAGAACTAGGTATGTTTACTCTATCAGGGACACGGTGGCTCAGTGGCTAAGACGCTGATCTTATCGATCAGAAAGGCCAGCAGTTCAGCGGCTCAAATCTCTAGTGCCGCATAACGGGGTGAGTTCCCATTAAGTGTCCCAGCTTCTGCCAAACTAGCAGTTTGAAAGCACGGAAAAATGCAAGTAGAAAAATAGGAACCACTTTGGTGGGAAGGTAACAGTGCTCCGTGCGCCTTCGACATTTAGTCATGTCAGCAGTGGTGGGTTGCTCATCCCGTTCCAACCAGTATGGTTGGAATGGGGCCGGCGGTGTCCTCGTGCATGCGCGCAGTTCACGCATGTGTCTTAGTGCCTGCACAATGCTCCAGCTTCTCGTGGAGAATTGCGCAGGCGCTGTATGTGCTATGCACCTGCGTAGAAGCGCAGAAGCCTTCAAAGACTGGTAAAGAGTGCGGACGGGCGGGTGGGCCCTTCGGCGTTCCTGGAAGTTACTTACTTCCGGGTTCACTGACCAACCAGTCCGCGCGGACCGCCGTGGACTGGTTGAAACCCACCCCTGCATGCGAGCCACATGACCACACAGACGTCTTCGGACAGCACTGGCTCTTTGGCTTTGAAATGGAGATGAGCACCACCTCCTAGAATCAGGAACGACTAGCACATATGTGTGAGAGGAACCTTTACCTTACATGTTTAGTCTAAGGAAAAGAAGGCTAAGGAGAGAGCCGAGGTGGCGCAGTGGTTAAATGCAGCACTGCAGGCTACTTCAGCTGACTGTAGTTCTGCAGTTCGGCTGTTCAAATCTTACCGGCTCAGGGTTGACTCAGCCTTCCATCCTTCTGAGGTGGGTAAAATGAGGACCCGGATTGTTGTTGGGGGCAATATGNTCTTTTTTATTCCTTATCTGTACCCCCTCCCTTGACTTGGATTGTGAGCCGCCCTGAGTCCCCTTCGGGGAAAAGGGCGGCATAGAAATGTAATAAATTCAATTCAATTCAATCCCACTATCAATATGCAGGGGAACCTATTAATAATAATAGTAGTAATTTTTTAAAAAATCCCAGAATGCTTGCTCAAGAATTAATGATACGAGAAGGCTGCCTTCAAGTGGATCTAACTTGATTCACTTTATCTAGTGACAAGGAGTACCAGGGGAGACACAATAGCCATCTTCCAATATTTAAGGGGCTCCTACAAAGAGGAGGCAGTGAAACTATTTTCCAAAGCACCAAAAGAAACAATGGATGGAAACTTACCAAGGAGAGATGCAACCTAGAACGAAGGAGAAATTTCCTAATTGTGAGAGCAATCAGCCAAGGGAACAGCGTGGCTTCAGAAGTTGTGGATGCTCCATTACTGGAGGCTTTCGAAAACAGACTGGAGAATCATTTATTTGAAATGGTATAGGGACTCCTGTTGAGCAGGGGGGTGGACTAGAAGACCTCCGAGGTCCCTTGGAGGTCTTCTAGTCCAGTATTTAAAGGGCTGCCACAAAGAAGACGGGGTCAACTTAGTCTCCAAAGCATCAGAAGGCAAGGAAAGAAACAATGGATGGAAACTAATCAAAGAGAGAAGCGACCTGGAACTAAGGAGGAATTTCCTGACAGTAGGGACAATTAAGCAGGGGAACGGCTCGCCTTCAGAAGTGGTGGTCGCTCCATCAGGGGAGGCTTTTTTAAAAAATAGAATAGAAAGAAGGAGCTGCAAGGGACCTTGGAGGTCTTCTAGTCGAGCCCACTGCTCAAGCAGGAGAACGTATACCATTTCAGATAAGTGACTGTCTGGACTTTTCTTAAAAGCCTCCAGTGAAGGAGCATCCACGATTTCTGGAGGCAAGCTGTTCCACTGGTTAATTGTCCTCACTGTTAGGAAGTTTCTCCTTAATTTCAGATTGCTTCTCTCTGATTATTTTCCATCCGTTGTTTCTTGTCCTGCCTTCCGGTGCTTTGGAGAATAAGTTGACCCCTCTCTTCTTTGTGGCAGCCTCTCAAATACTGAAATATTGTTATGGTGTTACCCCTAGCCCTCCTTTTCTTTGCAATAGCCAAACCCAAATCTTGCAGCCATTCTTCATATGTTTTAGTCTTCAGGCCTTTGATCATTTTAGTTGCTCTTCTCTGAACTTTTTCCAAAGTCTCAACATCTTTTTTGTATTATGGTAGTATGGACCAAAATTGGACAAACAATTTGTCTGAAATAGATATAGGATTTCCTGCTTGTGCATTTGGGGTTGGACTAGAAGACCTCTGAGGTCCCTTCCAACTCTGTTATTTTCTCATACTGTTAAACAGGAATGGATTTAGAATAAAGCCGTCTGGATTATTAACGGACTAAACCTTCCCACCCACCAAATCCTACATTCAGAGATGAGGACATAGAGTCATAGGGCTGGAAGCAGTGGTGGGTTTCAAAAAAATTTTAGAACCTCTTCTGTAGGTGTGGCCTGCTTTGTGGGAGTGGCTTGCCAGCCATGTGACCTAGTGGGAGTGGCTTGGCAGTCATGTGATTGGGTGGGCATGGCCAACTTGTAAAATGTGGTGAAACTCACTTAACAACGCTCTTG